GCTATCGATTATCTGTCATCAATTTGGTATTGACACGACTAAGTTTAGCACCAGATGTGGGAGTCTGTGTGATCTGGAAATGAACTGTGCCAATGTATTGAAAGGGATATTTTGAAACTTGCAAGGGGATGTACAGTAACGTGTGTAAGGATGTGCTACGCTATGTAAACGGATTCAGTGACGGTTGTTTGAGGGGTTTAAATTCATCATAAAGTAAGTTTATATGCGTTTGGAAATTTTGGTATTATTATATGCGTGTTTGTATATTTTACAAAGTATGTTAATGAGAACTATATTGAATAAGTGCATAAACATCCTCCAGTAGTACTATCCTCCAAACAAATTTCTCATCCCTATATTTTAAACTAACCCGTTCATATTGGGCAAGTAGCCACTGCGCCCTCTCAGCTGATATTCCTGTTTGCTTAGAATAAAACAGTCTAATTGTGCCGCACATCAAGACCGTTTTCTCACTCAACCTTTCGCCTCCTTGCTCCAGATCTGACGCTGACGGGGAAGCAGTGCCCGCGCCTCCTGAGCGGCTACCAGAGGGCCCGGCAGGAGGAGGCTGAGATCCTGAAATCTCTGAGGGAGGACGGGCTCATCTCGACCTCCAAGCAGCGAGCGGGGGGCGGCGTCTCCTTCGAGATCATCGAGGCCACGCCGGCGACCGAGTCCTCCACAAGCAGCAAGTTCAAGCCCAAGGTACTTTTTGTATGGGTGGGGGAGGGCGGGTCAGTGGTGGGGGGGGTGGATGGGGAGACATGAGTACATGCTCTTGTCAGTGTAAACAACCTTGACCTTTCCCTTTCCCTGCACTCCATAACCAACATTGAGGCTACCGTCACTCTGGGTTCTCTAATGACCTCGTTCTTGATGAAAGGAAACACTTCGGCCTCTCACCCTCCGCCTCCTTTGCAGGACTTCCTTCCTGAGGAGACGAAGCAGCACCTGGAGGCCCAGAGGAACAAATTCCACCTCAGGAACCTCACGTCGGCTGATGTGAGCAGGAAGATGCACATGGCGGAGCAGAGAAGACAGGTGGGCCTCGGACGTCACTCTCGCTTCTATCTCGTTCTCTCTTTTAATGTTATGTGTGTGTGTGTGTGTGCTGTACGTGTGTGTGTGTGTGTGTGTGTGTGTGTGTGTGTGTGTGCTGTAACCTTTGTGTGTGTGTGTGTGTGTGTGTGTGTGTGTGTTTGTGTGTGTGTGGTGTGTGTGTGTGTGTGTGTGTATATGTATATATATATATATATATATATATATATATATATATATATATATATATATATATATATATATATATATATATTATATATATATACATATATATATATAATATATATATATTATATATTATATATATATATATATATATATATATATAATATATATATATATATATATATATATATATATATATTATATATATATATATATATATATATATATATATATATATATATATATATATATATATATATATATATATATATATATATATATATATATATATATATATATATATATATATATATATATATATATATATATATATATATATTATATATATATATATATATATATATATATGTGTGTGTGTGTGTGTGTGTGTGTGTGTGTGTGTGTGTGTGTGTGTGTGGTATACATATATGTAAGAATGTATGCATATATATACATATATACACACAAATAAACACAAAACACGCATTTGCACACATGTATGCATTAGTGAATATATTCATGCGAGTGTGTGCAAATGTACGGACATTTATGCCACCCAAGTTTTCTGTATTTTGTCAGCCAACTTTCTTCCAGCCGTTTTGACAGCCTCTCCACGTCTGCCACGTATTATGAATTTGGTGTCGCTCGCGGGGACGAGAGGGAACGAAATCAATAAAAAAAAAAAAAAAAAAAAACGAGAGTACTGTCGTCTCTCGTGCCCATTGCTCGTCCATTCCCGATTGATTCTCAGTGGTCGAGCTCGATTGATCAAAATTGCCGTTTGGCTTCAGGAAAGTGTACAATCACTTTTGAGCAAAACTGTGATGAATTTTCGCAGTAAAAATGTACCAATTGTTTTTTTCAATGAAGAGAGTGAGGAGGGCGGAGTAAGGAAGAAAGACTTCAAAGAGAGGAAGAATGGGGAGAATTGTGAGAGGGAGAGAGAGAGAGAGAGAGAGAGAGAGAGAGAGAGAGAGAGAGAGAGAGAGAGAGAGAGAGAGAGAGAGAGAGAGAGAGAGAGAGAGAGAGAGAGAGAGAGAGAGAGAGAGAGAGAGAGAGACTCACACAGCCTGGCCATGGCGTGCGTCGTATCTCACCACAAGGATGCATGTAACTAGGACCCTCCTCCGTACCCCCCCCCCTTCCCCTTACCATCTCCAGGGGGCACAATTACCATACCATAAACCCTCCTTAGCACAAATCACCTCATTACTTTCCTTTTTTTTTACTGTTACTCTTCCGTCTCCCTAATTGGAGAGTGGAATGGAGAAAAGGC